GGGGGGGTGGGGGCGGGGGGAGGGGCTGGCGGGCGTGTCGGGCTGTCCAAGGGTTCAGGTGGCGGAACGTGCCTGGTTCCCTCCCCCGCAGACTCATCCTGGGGGGGTTGGAGGGGGGGGGGGGGGGGGGGGACGGACACACAAAATAAATCCTGGGTCTTGGAGTCTCTTCGGGGTGCATCCGCGCCAGGGTTCCTCTGCCGCCTTCCGTGGATTCGTTAAGTGCTCGGAGGTTTGGAGGGGGCGAAACGGATGCAGAGAGAGAGAGAGAGAGAGAGAGAGAGAGAGACCATCCCAGCAGCTGCCGGCCTTTTCAGAGGGACCGATGGACCAAAGGGTTGATCCGAAGAACCCCAAGGGCTAATACTTGGGGAGCGAAGAGGGGGGGAAAAGTTGGGGCCCCAAGAACGAGAGTGGGGGGGGGCCCCCACGGTTCGGATCTCCGCGTGGAAAAGAGCGAGCGGATATCGAGAAGGGGAAAAAAAAAAAAACAACCAAGCGAAGACGACGGATGGGGTGTAGCAATCGGTGAGCGGGAAAGGACTCTTTGCTTCTGGCGTCGAAGGGTCGGATGGATGACGGAACGGGAAGGGACGCGAGGATCCAGGGTCCCTCGCCTGGCCAGGAGCGCCTTCTGATGGCCAACAGCTGGCAGGATCCGCAGAAGGGAGACTCGATCGCTTTTATGTCGCCCAGACTGATGTGGGACATCGCCGGAGGAGAGAGTCCGACCAATCTCTGGCAGGCAGAAGTTTCGTTTTCCTAGCATGGACGATTCTCCCCCCCCCCTCAAAAGAAAAAACCCCAACAACACCCCTTTGCTTTCTATGCTTGGTGGTCTTCCCACCTCCAAAAGCAGCCTTCTCGTGGACGTTTGGACCCCCCCCCACAGGGTTTGGCTTCGGCGCCGGAAAGGGGGAAACCATTAAAATCCCCCCCCCCCCGTTGACTTGATCCCTCGATTTTAAGCCAGGATGGAAAAAAAGGCCGTTCCGGGACTCTGTTCTTTCCAGGTGGTCTCCTTTTCTCCCTCCCGTGGAATTTAAAAAAAAAGAGAGCAAAAGGCAATAAAAAATGAAAACAAAAACGAGAAAAAAAGCGGTTATTAAAAAGTTCTACAAGGTTGCCATTACAGTCGAAGAAAAAGGGGAAGAGAAAAAGCGCATAAAAAGGGAGTGTGAAAACACACACAGGCGCGGTGCGAGGGTTGTCCGAGCTGATTCTGACTTTGGGTGGGAAGGGTGGAAACAGGAAGGGCTTGTGGTGCTTCCCGCTGCCCAAAAACAAAATCCAGAGCGGGCGGCATGGGTAACAGGGGTGCCAGCGAGACGGTTGCGAAAAGGGCCGGGGAGGGGGGGGATCACGCGAAAGTTTCTCGTCTTCATTCTCGTCTTTTTTTTCTTCTTCTTCCTTTCCCCCCCACTGTTTTCTGGGGGAGGGGGGTTTTTCCTATCCCTCCGTGGTAGGCACCAGTACAGGCACTGCATGCGATGGATGAGGGGCGGGGGCTCAGATGGGGGAATCATGGGGAGGAGGAGGAAGAGGCGGGGCGGGTGCAGGGCTGGTGTTATTTTTGCCCGCTGATGGATTGCGATATCGAGCGCGGAGGGATCATATCGAGTAGATATTCCCGCTGCCGGTCCGCCAAGCTGGACCCTTTGTGGCCGCCCATCCCGGCGTTCAGGTAGGCGATGTTGACTCCTGGAGAAAAAGAGACAGAGACACAGACAGACAGAGAGATAGAGAAAGACAGAAAGACACAGAAAGACAGAGACAGAGCGAGAAAGACAGAGAGAGAGAGACAAAGACACACACAGAGAAAGACAGAGACAGACACACAGAAAGACAGAAAGACACACACAGAGAGAAAGAGGCAGAAAGACAGAGAGAGAGAGAGAGGGAGAGAAAGAGAGGGAGGGAAAAAAAGTTAAGTCCTTTTTCTGGTTTTGGAAATTTCCCAGGTGAGCTTCTTCACCTGAAAAGATCTCTAACCACCTCAAGAGTTCGTCCTTCTCAATACATATTGAGCTAAAACCAGAAATATTTCTGCTAGGGATTTTACCTGAAATCTATAGTAAGGAGAATGTCTATCTAATTATTCATGTATCAACTGCAGCTAGAATGGTATTTGCACAACATCGGAAAGGTGAGGAAATCTCCAATGACAAGGAGATGATCAGGAAAACGTTAGACTGTGCAGAAACGAACAGATTTCACACTAGCAATCAAGGAGAAAGAGCAAACTGAGTATATTATAGGATGTGGAAAATATTTTATCAATGGTTAGAGAATAAAAAAGGAATTTGGAAATGAGGAAGAATAAAAGAGAATAGAAAATAAAGTAAGAGATATAAATAACTGTCAATATATATACGACGAGAACAATGAGATGCAATGCTAATGAGATATCACCCGAAGAGCTGTATAATGATTAGTAGTTTGATGTATCTTAACTCTAAGCTTAGAGAAATAAAATTAATGTGAATGGTGTAATAAATGGTGAAGAAGGTGGCACAGAGATGTTGGTGCCCAGACGACACACTGCTTGAGAAAAAAAATGAAATGTTTGTACTTTTGAAACTGAAAAATAAAAAAAACGTATTATACTGTATATTAAAAAAAAAGAGTTTGTCAGAGTATATTCATGAACTGGAATAGAGCTTAATAACAAGGTCAGCCAATGAGAGCTGAACTGCGGGGTGACACTTAAAGACAGAACCTAGGCCTGGTTTATCTCTGTTCTGTGCTCAGCTCTAAAGTGAACTTGCTTGCTTGCTGAAACTGAGCTGCCGCTGGTGGTGTTTTTGCTTATGTTACGTTGAAAGAATCTACAAATGGTATTGTACACTTTACTCGTATTAATATGTTTATAAAGAAGTTTAATGATCCTCATGGATCAAGTCTGTGTGTTTTCTGGACGTGAATTTATGCTGCAAACTCTTAACAGAGTTCGTCATTCTTGGTCGTGGGAGAAAAAAACCCAAGGGAGACCCGGGAAAATATGGCGGTTAAGGCAAGACAAGCGCTCTGTAAATCGAGCAGAGACTCTGCTCTGGGAGGGCGGAAGAGTCAGGAATGGGGGGCTAGCCTGCCCCTGAAGCTCGGGTTCGAGTTAACAGGTGTGGACGTCGCCTGTGCAAAAGGACCAGCTGGGTTTTCCCCCTTCCTGGCCCTCAAATATTTAGGGGCAAATGTTAAATCAGAGCTTCCAGAACCAGGCATGAAAGTGGTAACTGAGGGACTGTCAACTCATAAAATATTTCCAGGGTCTTTTTAGAGTTGCCATTAGAAAGGGGGGGAGGGGTTTGAAAGAGCAGTGCGGCAGCTTGGAAATCGAAAGTGCATTCCATACATAGTTTTTCAAAGATACTAACTAGGGGACTGAAGTTTCTGCGCGCAAATATCTAATTGGAGAACATTGACGACTCTGGGCTATGGATGTGTCCCATTGAAGGATATGAATTATGATACACCCAGGAAGTGGGGGAAAAACCAGGGTCAAGGGTGACAACGAATGATGTGCCTTAGAGTCAGCTACACCCAGACAGTGCCGGACATGTTAACTCCCAATAAATCCTTTTGAAGTTTTGGAAGTTGGCTCGAGACTCATGATTTAAATGGGGTAACTGCCGGAATCCTGACAGGGACAAGGAGGAAAAAAGCCCCATGGAAGAAGTGGGGCAGGATATCCCAACCACAATCAAACGACCAGATTTATGGTTCCCAAAGATTTCTAGGGGAGGAAGCTGTTAAGTTTTTTTTTTTTTTTAAATTCCCTCTAGAGATCGAAAATTAAGAGCTTTGTACGAGTGAAATTTAATGGTTTACAAACAGTTTAGACTTTCGTTTCAAAAACCCTGATTTATGGGAGAAGCATCAGCGAGCTTCTCATGGACACAAAAGGAGCAAGAATTTCTCCAGGCCTTCCTGAGTTTGGGACGTTCCCAGTCTGGTGTTTGAAATAACCATGGAACAAAAGTCAGGAAACAGTCCGGAGCGTGGACTGTTCTTTGGCAACCCCTATGTCCTGAGCCCCAACTCTAACCCGAAGCATCCCCTCCAGGCTGTCGCAGCAGAGAGAGTGGGGGCCTGGCTCTGTGGCTGAATTCCCACCCACCTTCTTCCAGCCCCAATTCGGCCCGGTTACCTGGCATCCCGAGGAGTCCGCTGGCGACGGGGAGCTGCGGCGCCTGTGCGAAGTTGGAGAGCATGGAGCGAGCGGACGTGGGCAAACTGCGTTGTAGGGAGCTTTGAGGCTGGGGGGCCTGGAGGGAAGGAATGAAGGAGGGAGGAAAAGGTAATAGTTATGTTGGATGTCTTTGTTGTGCTTTAAAATGCTGTTTTTGTTTGTGTTAAAATGGTTTGGGGTTATATAAATTGCCCAGAGTTCTTGATGGAGATGGGGAAAGAAAGAAAGAAAGAAAGAAAGAAAGAAAGAAAGAAAGAAAGAA